GAATTTCCAGAGAATCTAAATATTCATTTCTTGGAAAGATGGAGGAATACTCCTCTTGACATCTGCAATTATGCACAAGAGTTTTTTTAAAAAATTGAAAGAATAACATTGCTTCAGAAAATCTTTCAAATATAGGTAAAGGATAGGACCAAGGTGAACATGGACCATTGGAGCATTTCCAGACAGCTGATTTGAGGGGGGCGGGGGTGAAATTTGTGTACTTATCAGATTGTAGTTTCTAAAGCTATAAATAAAGAGTTTCATTTTGTAGCTACAGAGTATTCTCAATTATGATTCAAAATTCAAACATCCTAAATGTAGAGGGGAGCTTGGATCTACCTCCATTCCTTCCTGCTTCCATAGCAGTCTCCCCTTGTTGACAAGGAAGTTACAAAAAAAATAGATCATGTGTGTTGGGACATGGTTACAGTTTTTTTTTTATCAAACTGGACTGACTGACAACTGGCAAACAGAGGGAGAAAACATGGAGGCAGTGACAGACTTTGTATTTCTAGGTGCAAAGATTACTGCAGATGCGGACTGCAGCCAGGAAATCAGAAGATGTTTACTTCTTGGGAGGAGAGCAATGACCAATCTCGATAAAATAGTGAAGAGTAGAGACATCACACTGGCAACAAAGATCCGCATAGTTAAAGCAATGGTATTCCCCGTAGTCATCTACATATGTGAGAGCTGGACCATAAGGAAGGCTGAGCGAAGGAAGATAGATGATTTTGAACTGTGGTGTTGGAGGAAAGTTCTAAGAGTGCCTTGAACCACGAGAAGATCCAACCAGTCCATACTTCAGGAAATAAAGCCTGACTGCTCATTGGAGGGAAGGATGTTAGAGGCCAAAATGAAGTACTTTGGCCACATAATGAGGAGACAGGAAAACTTAGAGTAGACAATGATGCTGGGGAAAATGGAAGGAAAAAGGAAAAGGGGCTGACCAAGGGCAAGATGGATGGATGGCATCCTTGAAGTGACTGGCTTGACCTTGAAGGTGACAGCCAACAGAGAGCTCTGGTGTGGGCTGGTCCATGAGGTTACAAAGAGTTGGAACCGACTGAATGAATAAACAACAACAAACTGTACAGTCTTTCTGCTAAACTTCCATATATATAATCCCTATTAGTATTTTTAAAAAGCCTAAACTAGACTGTAACTGCATGCACACTCACACTATTTCTTGGAGCTGAAAAGGATACTTGCTCCTTGTATCAATAGCTCCTCGTTTTGTGATAAATGATGTAAGTTTGCATATAGATGCCTCTGTTCTTTAAATAAAGCTATACGGTGTTCAGTTTGTCTTGCCAGGTGCACAGATCCACAGGTGGACTGCTGCCGGTACCGGTATCTGCTTAACATGACTCGGTATCCACGCTTTGAGTTTTGCTATCCGCAGCCCGGGTCTCACTATCCATGCCTAGTTCAAATTGTTTTATTTCAAGTTCAGGGTTGAAGCTTTGGAATTGTGAGGTCAAAATAATTTTTGGGTAGAGTCAGAATGGATGGAAATATATGAACTCAAAATGTAATATAAAAACTTATATAGGTAAACTTGAGTTAAAATCTAAGTGTATTGGACCAGAGGCAGAAATAACATGGAATGAACAGAGTTAGCATCCTACACCACAAAAGAGGAGAATAGTTTCATGTGTTTCAAGACACTTTTTAATTGAAAACTAACAAGATGTTTATCTGACATGAAACAACAAGGCCAGATAAGTATGAATAAGGAAAGAAAAACACATTGAATCACTATAAATTTTCTTCCAAGATGTATCCTGGGATTATTTTTCTTTCAATTATCTCCATTTTTATTAAGCTTTGAAAGACAGAAGATCACAGGAGCTGTCTTCATAGACCTGTCAGCAGCTTATGATACTGTAAACCACTGCCTCCTCCTGAGAAAAATGTATAATCTCACAAAGGACTACAATCTCACCCGCCTCATAGGAAACCTGCTACAAAACAGGAGCTTTTTTGTTGAGTTCCAGAGCCAGAGAAGCAGATGGCGGAAACAGAAGAACGGCCTGCCTCAGGGGAACGTGCTTGCTCCACCCATGTTCAATATCTACACAAATGACCAGCCACTGCCAGAAGGGACAGAGAGTTTCATCTATGCAGATGATCGTGCCATTATTGCTCAAGCAGGGAGCTTTGAGATGGTAGAACAGAAGCTCTCCAAAGCTCTAGGTGCCCTTACCGCCTATTACAGAGAGAACCAGCTGATCCCTAATCCATCTAAAACACAGACATGTGCCTTTCACCTTAAGAACAGACAAGCATCCCGAGCTCTGAGGATTACCTGGGAAGGAATCCCACTGGAGGATTGCAGCACACCCAAATACCTGGGAGTCACTCCGGACCGTGCTCTTACCTACAAGAAGCACTGCCTGAACATCAAGCAGAAAGCGGGTGCTAGAAACAATATCATATGAAAGCTGACTGGCACAACCTGGGGATCACAGCCAGACACAGTGAAGACATCTGCCCTTGCACTATGCTACTCTGCTGCTGAGTACGCATGCCCAGTGTGGAACACATCTCACCACACTAAAACAGTGGATGTGGCTCTTAATGAGAAATGCCGCATTATCACAGGGTGTCTGCACCCTACACCACTGGAAAAATTACACTGCTTAGCCAGTATTGCACCACCTGTCATCCGCCGGGAAGCAGCAGCCAACAGTGAAAGGACCAAGGCAGAGACATCTCCAGCTCATCCCCTGTTTGAGTATTGGAGTATCAGCCAGCACGTCAACGACTTAAATCTAGAAATAGTTTTCTAAGATCTACAGAGACACTCGCTGGAACACCTCAGCAAGTGAGAGTCCAAAAGTGGCAGGCTCAAACCCAGAACCTCAACCAATGGCTGATACGAAATGAGAGATTCCCCCTGGGCACACAGAAAACTGGGCGACTTGGAAAGCGCTGAACAGACTGTGCTCTGGCACCACGAGATGCAGAGCCAACCTTCAGAAATGGGGCCACAAAGTGGAATCAACGACATGCGAGTGTGGAGAAGAGCAAACCACTGACTACCCGCTGCAATGCAGCCTGAGCCCTGCCACATGCACAATGGAGGACCTTCTTGCAGCAACACCAGAGGCACTCCAAGTGGCCAGCTACTGGTCAAAGGACATTTAATCAACTACCAAACTCACATATTTTGTATTTTGTCTGTTTGTTTGCCTTGTTCTGTTAGAAATGTAATATAATTGACTGGTTGCCCCGACACGACAAATAAATAAATAACCTCCAAGGTCATGTGGTTGGCATGACTGCATGGAGCACCGTTACCTTCCCGCCGGAGCAGTACCTATTGCTCTACTGACATTTGCATGTTTTCGAACTGCTAGGTTGGCAGAAGCTAGAGCTGACAGCGGAACCTGTGACCTTTCGGTCAATAAGCTCAGCGGCTCAGCGCTTTAACCCACTGTGCCACCGTATTTCAGTGGGAAGTGTGGGCCTGCTTTTGGGTGATGAGATAAAATTGTTGTTGTTGTTGTGTGCTTTCAAGTCATTTCAGACAGGTTGATCCTGAGCGAGGGTCGGGTAAATGACCTTGGAGGGTCATATCCGGTCCCCGGGCCGTAGTTTGAGGACCCTTGGTCTAGAGGCATTCATGGTCTAGAGCAGGGGGTTCCCAAACTACGGCCCGCGGGCCACTTCTGACCCGCAAAGGGCACTTATCCGGCCCGCGGAGGAGGAGCGCCCCCCCCACACATTGCCCCTCCCTTGGCTGGCTCATGTTATCCGTCAGGCCCGATGGGCAGCGTGAGCCAGCCAAGGGCAGCTGCTTTGCGTGGCCTACTCGTGCATAAAGCACCTCGTGAGGTGCTTTACGTGCAAGTAGGCCGTGTGGGGCTGCTCCTCCCTTGGCAGGCTCACGCTGCCCATCAGGCCCGATGGGCAGCATGAGCCAGCCAAGGGAGGCTGCCCCGGTGCTCCATGCGCGTAAAGCACCTTGCGAGTGCTTTACGCGAGAGTAGGCCGCGCGGGGCTGCTCCTCCCTTGGCAGGTTCACGCTGCCCATCGGCCCGATGGGCAGCGTGAGCCAGCCAAGGGCAGCTGCTCCACACGGCCTACTCGCGCGTAAAGCACCTTGCGAGGTGCTTTACGCGCAAGTAGGCTGCGCGGGGCTGCTCCTCCCTTGGCAGGCTCACGCTGCCAATCTGCTCGATGGGCAGTGTGAGCCAGTCAAGGGAGGCTGCCCCAGCGCTCCATGCAGTCATGCCAGCCACATGACCTTGGAGGTGTCTACGGACAACGCCGGCTCTTCGACTTAGAAATGCAGATGAGCACCATACCCCAGAGTCAGACACGACTGGACTTCATGTCAGAGGAAAACCTTTAACTAGGAAAATTGTGGAAGATCCAGGGTGGGAGAAAGAACTCTTGTCTGTGGAGACTTCTCTCATGTCCCCGCATGTAGCTGGAGCTGATAGAGGGAGCTCATCCGTGCTCTCCTCGGATTCGAACCTGCGACCTGTTGGTCTTCAGTCCTGCCGGTGCAGGGGTTTAACCCACTGCGCCATCGAGGGCTTTGATTATAGTTCAGCTGTACTCAAAGAGCATTCTGAACTCCATCAATGATGGAATTGAACCAAATATGAGCACACAGAACTCCCACGACGAACAGAAAATATGTATCAGTGATTGGTTTGTGGTGGGGAACCAAAAGACTGTTTGCTTACCATTGAAAATTACCTAGGGCCGCCTCTGCTCATCAGTTCTGGTCAGGATGTGGAATGATGAGTGACACAGGAGTTGGGAGTCCAACATCAAAAGACACCAAGGGCCTTGAGTTGGACGCAGGTGGTGAAGGCAAAAAGCCTCTCTCTCTCTCCTCCATGTCAGTCCCAATGGCCTAAGGAAACTCTTGGCTCTTTGGAGGCCCTTGAGGGCATTCCTCCCCTCGCCCTCCTCGTGGGTTTGAGGGAAAGGGGAGTGGAGGAGGGCGTGTGTGAGGAGGCGGGGCGAAGGGAGGGGAGACAGGGGCGCCAGGGCTGCCAGAGATGGTCTCCTGCCTTAAAAGAAGACGGAGGAGGAGGAGGAGGAAGAAGAAGAAAAAGGGGGAAAGGCGAGCTCTGAGGGGGTTTCCTACGCGCGCGCGCGCCTTTTCCCTCAGCAGCGGGTGAGTGAGCGTGGCAGCGTTGTCTAGGCTGGGAAAAGGGCCGGGTATCTTGACAGACACACACACACACACAGACAGAGAGAGAGAGAAGCGCGAGGCTGGAGGAAGCAGGCGATGGAGAGGCGAAGGAGGCCGAGAGCGCCAAGCCAGGTTGGTGAGAAGGAGGGGGTCTTGGGGGTGTTTAGGAATGGTGACCCTCCTTCTATCAATAATAACAATACAAGAGTTGGTGGTGGTGGTGGTGGTGGTGCGGGGTGTCTCAGTGTCTCAGCCCAGCTTGGGGAAGTTACTTTTGTGTTTTGAGCTGCAGCTTCTTTCCCCTCTTTCCCATCATCTGTGGCTGCCCTATCTATATCCCAGGATCTGATCCCTGATGATCCCCGTTTATTTATCCAGCTGTGAAGACGCATATAATCCAGTTCGAAGCTAATCATTTGGACTCAGGTCCTGGGATAGAGGGCTCAGTCTCCATGCGATTACCACCTATGGACGTCAGTTGGGTTATGTGCCTTCATTTGGTCAAAGTGAAACTGCAAGAGGAGAGCCCTGTCACACTACCTTATATCTCAGGATCTGATCCCGGATTATCTGGCAGTGGAGACTCATATAACCCGGTTTAAAGCCCCTAATGAGGGATCCGATCCTGGGATAGAAAGACAGTGTAGAAGGGATCTGATCCCAGATTATCTGGCAGTGGAGATTCATATAATCCAGTTTAATGCCCATAATGTGGGATCCGATCATGGGATATAGTGTAGAAGTGACCTGATCCCAGATTATCTGGCAGTGGAGACTCATATAATCCATTTTAATGCCCATAATGTGGGATCCAGTGCTGGGATAGAAAGGCAATGTAGAAGGGATCTGATTCCAGATTATCTGGCAGTTCAGACTCATATAATCCAGTCTAAAGCCAGAGTGAAGAGAGAGGGGGCCAGGGGACAGTTCCACTTTGTCTCCTGTGCTATGCTAATAATATAATATAACAATAATATAATGTAATAATGTGGGATCCGATCCTGGGATATAAGGACAGTGTAGAAGGGATCTGATCCCAGATTATCTGGCATTGGAGACTCATATAATCCAGTTTAAAGCCAGAGTGAAGAGAGAGGGGGCCAGCGGACAGTTCCGCCTTGTCTCCTGTGCTATCCTAATAATATAATATAATATAATATAATATAACAATAATATAATTTAATAATGTGGGATCCAATCCTGGGATATAAGGACAGTGTAGAAGGGATCTGATCCCAGATTATCTGGCAGTGGAGACTCATATAATCCAGTTTAAAGCCCGTAATGTGGGATCTGATCCTGGGATAGAAAGACAGTGTAGAAGGGATTTGATCCCAGATTATCTGGCAGTGGAGACTCATATAATCCAGTTTAAACCCCATAATGTGGGATCCGATCCTGGGATAGAAAGACAGTGTAGAAGGGATCCCATTCCAGATTATCTGGCAGTGAAGAATCATATTATCCAGTTTAAAGCCAGAGTGAAGAGAGAGGGGGCCAGGGGACAGTTCCACCTTGTCTCCTGTGCTATGCTAATCTATATAAATAAAAATGCAATGTTCGTTTGTGGGATTAACATAACTCAAAAACCACTGGACGAATTGACACCAAATTTGGACACAAGACACTTATCAGGCCAATGAGTGACCATCACTTATCAAAACACTGAAAAACACAGCAGAAGAGACTTAAAAAGCCAAAAACCAAAAAAATACATTACAACGCATGTGCAAAACCACATATATACACAAACACACAGATATACACATATTCACAAATATATGCACAAACATATATGCATATATACACACACAAAACACATAGACACAGACTGGGCCACAGCAACACGGGGCAGGGAACGGTTAGTAATGTAATGTAATATATTGTATATACATATAATATTTATAATATTATAATGTAATACAATATAATACTACTAATAATAATATGATATTATATTACATGCAATATTACTAATAATATTACAATGTAATGGTATAGTACAATATAGTAATATATAATACTGATATTGTACTACACTAATGATATAATATATTGTATGTATATATATCTTGTAAGCTGCTCTGAGTCCCCTTCGGGGTGAGAAGGGCAGCATATAAATGTAGTAAATAAATAAAGCCCATAATGTGGGATCTGATCTTGGAATATAAAGACAGTGTAGAAGAGATCTGATCCCAGATTATCTGGCAGTGGAGACTCATATAATCCAGTTCAAAGCCCATGATGTGGGATCCGATCCTGGGATGTAAGGACAGTGTAGAAGGGTCCTCTCCCCCCCCCCCCTCATTGTGCAGTTTCCTCAGTGCAGTCTCTTATTCTCATGCTAATCATTGGATGCTACAGTAAAAAAAAAAAAATGCCATCACACAGTGCAGCCTAACTGGAATGATGTCTTGAGCAAACCATTCTGTCCATAATTTGCATAGCTACCGAACCGGAAGACCTGTGTCCATTTCTCAAAGTAAAGGGGGAAAAGTTACATTAAGTTGGATGTCCCTTCTGAGCCTGATGATTCCGGCTGGATCTACATTGCACTATATCTGATCCCAGATTATCTTCTTATCCCAAATTATTTGGCAGTGGAGACTCATATAATTCAGTTTAAAGCAGGCAATCTGGGATCAGATTCTGGGATAGAGGGCAGTGGACATCCAGCCTCATATAATCCAATTCAAAGCAAATAATCTGGGATCAGATTCTGGGATAGAGGGCAGTGGACATCCAGCCTCATGTAACCCAATTCAAAGTAAATAATCTGGGATCAGATTCTGAGATAGAGGGCAGTGGACATGCAGCCTCATATAATCCAATTCAAAGCAAATAATCTGGGATCAGATTCTGGGATTGAGGGCGGTGAACATCCAGCCGCATATAATCCAATTCAAAGCAAATAATCTGGGATCAGATTCTGGGATTGAGGGCAGTGGACATCCAGCCTCATATAATCTAATTCAAAAGAAATAATCTGGAATCAGATCCTGTGACAGAGGGCAGTGTAGGTCCAATCTCATATAATCTATTTCAAAGCAAATAATCTGGGATCAGATCCTGGGACAGAGGGCAGTGGAGATCCAGTGTCAAAATAAATCTTACATATTTTAGGGTGATTTACCTTCCAAGTGCCAGTCACATCATTGCCTGTCAGGTTTTGTGAGGATCAGTATAATGCTGTTTGCTTGTTGCTTCACTGAAAGCTTTGCCTTCGCATCTGTCCCTGCATTTTACTTTAGTGTTTTCAAAACAAAGACACAAATCTAGCCCAAACTATGTTTGGGATCAGAAAGTTGCTTAAGGTTGAATCTACCGGACCATATCAATGCAGTTTTGGAATGCAGATTGACTGCATTGAACTGGATTATTTGAGGCTACGCTACCACATAATGCAATTCAATGCATTCCATCTGCATTCTGAAACTGCATCATATGGCAGTGTAGATCCAGCCAAAATTGTTAAATTATCCCCTGCATTTCCCCCTCTTATTGTGCCAGAAACCAGTATCATCTTTATGTTTCTGGTCTACAATGCTTTCTTTCTTTTCTGGAATCTCTCCAGAGAGTCAAAGCTGTTGGCTTAGGGATCAAAACTATTCCATGAGCCTCCTCTGTGAGTAGCACAGATTTAAATATTTTCTCAACAGGGAAGAGTATATCAGATATCTTACTTTTTTGTAGTTTGAATATTATCAACAATGCAATTTGAAGGTTAGGTATTAGGAAATTGTCCATGATGCAGCAGAATATTATTATCTGGGAAATCAAGTTGAGGATAGGTTATTAACTTTTGGAAACAATAATGACCATGAACAACTTTTTGATATGTTTGGAAAAATATGCATTGTGTAATCTGCATGTCCAAAAGGTAGACTATTGATAAATGCCTTATGGAAAGTACAAGAAGACTCCACTGGAATCAGGCAATGTGTAGAATAGTAGTAGCCTCTACAAAAAGAAAATTAGTGTATTGTCGAAGGCTTTCATGGCCGGAATCGCCGGGTTGTTGTAGGTTTTTTCGGGCTATATGGCCACGTTGTAGAGGCATTTTCTCCTGATGTTTCACCTGCATCTATGGCAGTCATCCTCAGAGGTAGTGAGGATGCTTCACTACCTCTGAGGATGCTTGCCATAGATGCAGGTGAAACATCAGGAGAAAATGCCTCTACAACATGGCCATATAGCCCGAAAAAACCTACAACAACCCAAAAAAATTAGTGTCTTTGGATCAAGTGTAAATTTGACATGCATGTATGTGCATACTTTAAAAAATGCATTGGTATTAATAAATTTATTTTCATGATCTCCTATAAAGTATGATAATACCTGCTATTATATATGGTTATTTATCATGTCAGAAGTGAATTGAGGGTCCAGTTATAATGTATTTAAGAACACTAACAAAGATTTTTTAATAATAATTTTTATTGAAAAGATTTACAATTACATAAAAGAAAACAAAAAAAGGAGGGGTATATAAGGAGTGATGATAATGGAGGGGTAAAAAGAAGGTAAGGTGTGGCGGAGAGGTCAAGGGGACGGGGAAAGGAACTGGTATAGGTGGGTGGGGGTGGCAGGAAAGGCAGCGGGGGATTTTAACTTCCCATCTTCTCAGTTCCGGGTTGTCTTCTTGTTTTCATGTTTCTTCTATTCTATATCCTTGTCTTCTTCAAAAGTTACCGAGAAGGAACTCTTCTCCCCATATTGTTTATATCATATCCTAATTTCCATTTTTGCTTCTTCCATAAATCTTGTTAATGAGCTCCAATCTATTTCTGTTTTATTTTGTTTGTATCTAAGTTTCTGTGTCAAGCTGTCTATATTTCAGATTTCTAGCATTTTGATTAACAATTCTTTTAAGCTAGGTATTTCTTTTCCCCTCCATGGACAATTCTAGCAGCCGATGTTAAATAATAATAATAATAACAATAATAATAATAATAATAATATTTATTTATACCCTGCCACCATCTCCCCCAACGGGGACTCGGAGCGGCTTACATGGGGCCAAGCCCGAACAACAGATTACAATACAAAAAAATACAAAATTACAATAAAATAAATAACATAACATTAAAGTATAAAATAATTAAATAGTACCTCTTTGTTTCTGTCTCCAT